TTAAATAATCCAGTGCCAGTAACTATCTGGTTCACACACCACCATAGCAGGTGGCAGAATTGTTCCTTAAGGCTTGTTTCCACCAGTGTTTAATTTGTAAACTTTGAGGTGCCATCGCTTCTACAGAGACCAGCTGTGACTATCATTATATGAGGAGGCTAAGTGCACTGACTTTGAATGATGTCTCACGCACAACAATAATGCACTATTACTTAGGCCTAAACATGTAACAATGCAATATTTTCCATTGACACCTGTTAGTTAAATCAAACTGAAAGTAACTTCATCTATTTATGTGACCAAAAATTTTTTTTTTTTTTGTGGGCGGTTGTTGCAAAACCTACAATAATAATATGCCACTTTACAGTAAACCATACTTTTCACATCAACAGCAAGCTATGGTGGTCACTTTATTGTTTAGTGAACTCTGCTGTCAGTGGTGACCATTTTAACTGGGAGGGAGGCACTGGGGCCAGTTGTTCTGTGGGGGGGGGGGGGTGCAGATGTATTTGACGTTAATGTCAAATACATCCAGTTACTTTCACTAGATTCTCAGCACAATTTTGAAAACCCATGTTACTTGTGGAATATGTAACTCACTTTGAATTCTTGTTCAGACTGTCTTGCTTCCTCAAGCTTGATTGCTTTTTTTGTTAACTTTGATTTTTACCAAGTGAAGCGATTCGAGCACCCAGCGCACCTGCATTGATTCTGTCAACTAAATGTGTTTACGTTTGAGTTTCATCTGTTCCCAGCACACAACATTTTAACCCACATATATAAATATGAATAATAACATCCCATTCAGGCCTGGTGGAGATTGATTACAAGCAGTCCATGAAGTTAATCTGATGTCATTAAAAGAAATATCACTGGTGTCACTACAGAATTTTGTAAAAAGACGTAGGACATGCCAATCGACATTAAGCGCAAAGGGAGCTTCGGTCCTGCTTGTGTTTTCACTATTTAAGTACTATAATTGCTCTTTTCCAATGCTTTTATACAGTTATCGTTACAATGACTCCACCTCACTACACTTGGCCAAAAAAAGAGACAAAACACACAATAAACAAATTTAAAGATGAATTTGACTGGTGGGATTATTATAATTATTTGGTTTAAATTTTTTTATAAATGCTGCAACAATATTGCTGTCCTGAATTCTTTTTGCCACGATAATCATGTAGTTAGAATCTGAACTCGTGACAGCCCTACACTCCACAAATATAGTCTCAATATAAAATTGTGCACAGACCATTGTGTCAATACAAAGGACATCACACCCAGACAGCCACCACATACTGAAGTAATCCGCAACAATGAAAAATGAATAAGACCACTTCTAAAAGGGAATCATGTAGCAATAATATAAACTTTAAAAAAAATCACCCAGTAAAGACAAGTGGCTTTACTGTCACCTTTTGTCATACAGTTACTGCTGGGAAAAAATAAACACTCTGGAAAAAATTAAGAGATCACATCAAAATTTCTCAATTTATGGGTAGGCAGCTGTGTAAAACGTACATTTTTGCAAACTCCAGCCTGGTTCTTCCCTATTTCGCATTTAAAAAAGAGCCTTTTCCTTGCTTTATGGGTCTTCAATCCTGCTACAAGGAGCCTGTTATGATCTGTCCTAGCAGTGCACTTCACACCTGCACTTGATGTTTCCCATTCTTTTTGAAGGTCACTTAATGTCATCCTCTGATTCATGAGGTACTGTTGGATACATTGACAGTCATCTCTGGCATTAGAAAGTCGCTTTCACCATTTACCTGGCTGGTTTCTAGTTGTTCTCAGTGTCTCCTGCTTCACACTGTTCTTGTGTATTGCGGCCTTAGAAATTTTGAGCCTGGAAGCAATTTGTTGCTCAGCATAGCCTTCTGCCACCATAACCAGGATTAAACAAGGATTTAACAGGGCAGATTTTTTTCAAAATGGAGTGGTCTTGTATTTATTTCCAGAGCTGTCTATATGGCTAGGAGGTAGCAGCTAGCTTTAGTCTGTAAAGTACTCGAGGATCTTGCAAAATACAGGGTTTCCTTAAAGTCAATGTCCTGTACATTCAGCATTTCATGAAGTGATATTAGTCAACCTGGCCAACATGTTGTAAAACACACACACAGACTTTGGTCAGAATGTTGACTTAAGCTGACATGATATTTGTGTAACTTCATGAAATACCCCACAGATGGTATCAGCCTCTAGCTATGCCTTCAGCGAGGTCTGTGCATTTTCCTAGTTATCGCCTGTCCGAATCATTAACGTAATCATCTGATATTGTCTTTCACAGTATTTTCAGTAGGCCTATGTTATTTTTATTTTGAGACTGCCTTGGGGAAGGACCTCAATTAAAATAGTTTCATTAATAAAATGTATGTTAAATTAAATATAATACTCATAGAAATAAAAGACTTTTTGCTGAATGTTGTTTAGCAGATTAACTAGTAAACTAAGTGGGCAAGCTAACGAATAAGCCCTAGTAACGAATACGCATATAGATTATTTGTGGGTGTTTCAGTAGTAGCCATTCTTGTCCACACGGTGGCACAATTTATTTATTTTTGAGGTTACAATTCTAGTTTTAAAATTGTAGAAATTCAGAACATAAAAATTGAGGTTAAATAATACAGGGAATAACGAAGATTTACACAAAATTCTCCTGGTAAATGTCTTGTGAAGAAGCTGGTCAATATGTTCCAATGTTCCAATGTCAATATGTTCCAATGTACCTATATTAGTATAGGTACATTGGAATGGCATTAGTTTTCCATCTTACTTTCATTTAAGTCATCCAGGTGAGATCAAAGCTTGGTGTTAGCTGTTTATCCAGCACCCCATAGCATTTTCTGGGAGGGGGGTTAAGAACCTTTCTCAAGTGCGTGATGATGATGTGACTATTCTGCTGAGAATGGGATTCAAACCAGCAACTTTCTGGTCACAACAGAGGGCTAACTCACTGATTCAAATTGCCCCCATAATTCCTGGTAGTGGTGTACACATCCCGAAGAGACTAGAGCCTTAACCACTCGACTACATCAGCTCGGGTACAAAAGGGGCTATTCACATCAGCCAGGAATCAAACCTAGAATCTTCTGATCCATAGTCAGACACATCCACTGCGCTATTAGCCCACCAGAGGCTCCAATCTGTGATTTGTTGAAGGCACTGTCAAATGTTATAGCCCATTTATTGATTTTATCTTTGTGTTTTATTTATTTATTCTCTGTTCGTTTTTCAATTGATGCTTGAATGCCTAAACTCAATTTAACATGTTTGCATGGAGGCTGCACTCATTGCCACTGCTCTTTCCTATAAAAATTTAAATGCTGATCATAGAAGAATGTTGAATAATATTTGCTAAAACAAAACTGGCAAATTGCAACTTGGCATCTCTGCTGTACCTAGTGGTAGAAATAAATTGCATTTGAAAGCAGGCGGAATGAGTTCCAGTAAAATTTGAACGCATTCAGAACAAGACAGAAAAGCTGAATTAAACTAAGTTTATCAGGATGATTTTTATACACCTACTTTACACAAATGTATTTCAGCCATGAGTGCAATTAGCGCAAAGTTATTGCAATTTCAGAAGATCAGCACTAGATGGCAGATGTTAGCTTACAATTAAGAACTGTCATTCACCTGAACGAATTCTTAAAATGGTTGGTAAAGCAGAACTGTAAAATGTGACAGTATATTAAACGCAGTTTTATAACATAGGCCTAAACAATGAAGCAGTGCCTTTTCGATTTCAAATGTAATATCACTGACTACTCCTTTGCGTCAACTGTGAAGTTGCATCACATTGCGTCATCTTGCATCAGGACAACCTTGATGTGTGCAACCCTTAAGTTTTCTATCAAACCCAGATAATATTGGCAGCTTGCAGCAAACGACAAAAAAGGGAAAAAACATACAATGCTGAACCTTCGTATTATGTACATCCCGCCATAATTCGCGTTGCAACGTGCTAATGCACATTATACATCATAACATAAAACTTTTAAGTATTTTTGATATGTGGTTACTAGCTCTTTGGTTTGGGATTTGCCTAGTTGTATTACGCGGTTAGGAAATACAGCAACCGCTACGCGGACGTTGTGGATGTGGAATGAACGCGCTTCTCAAGTAATGACGCTTAAGATTGTTTTTTCTGTCACAAATTAAAACCAGTCTTTCATTGTTTTTCCCATTTACTCCAAATGTAGTGTTTCTATGTATGGATATAACACGTTTTCAGAAACATGTTACTGACAATTTGTTATCAGCAGGTATACCACGGCGAGTCTGTTTTCTCAGGTTTCTATATAGCCTACAAATACAATGGGGAAAACGTCATCACAATGAAAACGGGACTTAATAAATTTCACTTCTTCCACTGGATTTCAAAGACAGTATCACGTTGAATTAAATAGTTATGTGCATGAAACGTTCATTTTAAATATCTGCATGATATTAAGGTTCCTTCAAGCAGCTATACCGATCACCCGAACTAGGAGGTTGAACAAAATATACAGTTACCTAGTACTGCAGAGTATTGATGAAATGCAGAGTAATGTAATTTGAGCGCTGTAAGTGGTAACTCAATGTATGCATAATGTCATTGATGCATATGCCTTCCCATGCAGAAACATTCATATAAAGGTACTTATTGATTTATTTGTTCTAGCAAATATATTAGATTTATGCTTCTGTTGGCTGCCACTGAAGTGCGCCCTCATGATGCAAAAGCTCTGGTGAAAAGACCGACCAAAGCTGTCCCTCTCCCATTGAGGGAGACGCAGAAAAACGCCTTTGCCGCTTGCCATTGCCTCCTGGGTGACACGGGCAGTGCTGGGAAGGGCTTTTTTTTCTACAGACGAAAACATTGTCTGTCAAACGTCACATGGGGTCAGGAGCAATCGCTTCCTGTATTGCTCATCATCCGTGTGAGTTTATTTGGCACTAATCGGCGCATTTATGTGCGAGTTTCCACGGATGCGGGCTTGGCTCTTCGCGACAGAATGATAAGCAAAGTGAAGAATGCGATGTCCACGCTGGTCGGCGGCATCATGCCGCACGGCTCCCATCAGCACGGCTCCGGCAACGCGCAGAACTGCGGCTCCGAGGGTTTGCCTCCGCGATTCGCCTACTCCCGACCCGAATTTCTGGATCTAACGGCGGAGCTGCTGCAGTACTCGACCGAGCATGCATCGAGACCGGTCCTCACGCCGAAACGGGACGCCAAGATGTCCTGGCGGACTGGATACGCTGAGTAAGTGCTGCTGTTCATGCTTTTAAAAAGGGGCAATTCACGCCCGTGTCGCGAATAATGCGGTGATGAAAGCTGCGGTGAATGCACCGTGCCTTTGTATGCTTACACATTAAAAACACATACACACACACAGATGGTCTTAATTTTATTCCAGATTCATTAGATCACGAGTGATACCCGCGGAACTAGGCGTAAGACGATTGTTTGGAGTTGCAGGACCAGTAATTGCGATTAGTCGAAGGTCCGCAATATTAACCATGTAATCGCGACGTATTTTCACTAAGACTGCTTTACAGGAGGGGGTGACGTGCTATTTAGCTCACGGCAGATTCGGTATTCGCATGTTTGTTTTAGCCCCGAGTAATTTGCGTGTAGCTACCTCACATAGGACTGCTTTCATAACGGGTCGGGCGTCCTTGAGCGCTTTATGGAGCCGCGGTGTCAAACCTTAGACTGTCTGAACTGACCAGGGCCTTAATGCGGTATAGCTAAAGTACAGTAATGTGCCGTTGAAGCATAAAGGCCGTTACGTATCACCACTCTACATGACAGTGACCCCGTACTGTAGGTAAATCGCCTTTAGCTGGCTTTCGTTTAACTGTGCTGAAAAACGCATTGCAGTGTAATTTACAGTTCACCAGCAGTGCGTTACAATAATCTTGTTGATAGTGCAAATTGCACACCGATGTTCAGACAGTATTAGTAACACATAAATAAAGGTATGACAAATGCTCATTTTAAACATATTCATGTGGACTTTCTTAAATTTGCAACTTCTAAAAAGGTGTTTAAACATGCAAAGGCCTGAACAGCTGCATTTAAACTTGAATTTTTTACTGTATTTGTTTTTATTTTTTGCTATGTATTAATATGTATTTTTTTCCATAAGTCTCGAAAAACGTGTAGTGCAGCTGCAGCATCATGTGAAAGGAAGAGGGATTTCCAAGTAACTTAAGTGACTCAGAGGTCATTATCTATATTATAGTTTGGTAATGCAAAGGTTTGAGCTTTACACCTGGAGAAAGAGACTTCAAAATGCACCTAACATCAGGTAGACTACATGGAATCGTTTTTTGTTTTTGTTTTTTTGCAGTAAAGTTCTGATGCAGATATCAAGAAAGGATGTCCTTTTGTGGGATTTTCCTTTTCAGTAAATGCCATGTAATGACACCCCAAGGTCCTTCTGTCAGCAGAGTCTTAATTACTGTGTCTAAGTCAGATATTTAAGTGGATGTTACTTAGCTGAAGTAGTAGAGTGCATCTTCTGTACTTGTTTGCAGAACGGCGTTTTGGTCTCTGGTGGTCTTTAAGACAAAACTACATTTAAAAAAAAATTACCTTTAGCCCCAGTATGTGTAATGAACATAGTTTCTACAGATGATAATTTGTGTGTAGTAACTTAATGTACAATGCTCAGTAGGGCCTTCCATTAACTCTTTGTATAGTGTTGTAGTCAGCTGATTTAGTTTAAAAAACATTAAAGAGTTCTTGGAGAAATCTAATATGAAACACTAACCTTAGGCCATGACTGTGGATGATTGTGTAGCCTCAGTCTTTTTGGTCACGAACACTTTAACGGCGCTTTTCTACTGGCATACAGGAACCAAGCCGTACCCGAGACATACCACGAATAGAGACTAGTTCCAGTTCCAGCTCACTTCAGTTTTCCACTGCAGAAAGATTGGCTCGGTAAAGCCATTGCTAGGTTTGGAGAGCAACAGTGACATAAAATGGAAGAGCTGCTTCTTTACTGTTCACACGGTGTACATCATGTCTGTGAGAAGCACTGTGTTATGTTAGCATGTAACACTAGGGGAATTAGCATTCACTTGTGTAAATTTGCATTACAAATCCATTGTATTCCGCTGTCCTTGTAGTACTTTTTATAGTAGGAGGTTGGAAATTTTCAACTTGCGAGTTATTGGGAATGCATCAATATATCACATCGTGCGATACTACTAGTAATGATTAATATATAGAATATACACTTTTTCCTTCCAATAATCTATCCAGATCACCAGTATGTCGATGGATTTCAACCAGTTAGATGGTGGTGGTGCAACAAACTCGGTAAAGTCACGCTTTCGGCCCTGCTTATGTCAATGTGGGTACGGGTTGGGTACGACTCGCAAAATTTACAAAGGAAAACCCACAGTTAGCGGTACAGCTCAAATATGGTTCGGGTCTTGGTGGCAGTGGAAAAGCGCCATAAATAACTGCAGCAAAATTAGCCAGCATTTTTATGGATCACACGTTTTCCTGCAGATAATGTTGGCTGTAAATGCTAATTAGGCATGATCCATAGAAACAACTGTATTCCCTTCTACTCAGTATCAATAACATAGATTTCGTGGAATGGATCATAGCCTTGATGGATGGAAGTGTATGGTGGAGATATTTGGATGTGTGGTGCAAAATTTTGTACAAAGGCAATTTGAAGACAATATAATTGACTTCCTGTTGTTGAAATGTGGGTGAGTTTGTTCATTTTGAATAGAAAAAGGGAAATGCAGCCGTACTGACCAAACGTTTACAACAACATCCTGGTTTCTGTTGTGTTTACTGTTTTTCTGGAAAGTCTGTAACGTCTGCTTATCTCTGGAAATCTTACTGCAATTTGACACGTTGCTGAAAGCCACACTGTTTTCGCAAATGCGAGTTGCAAAATTCACTCCATTCACTGGCTAAATTACGTCAGTAGGTAGCAGAGTAGTAAACACCACAAATTGCAATATAAACTATACCGGATAAAGTCTCAGAAGAACCCTGCTGTTGTCAGCTTGATTAGGTTAATTCACTTTCAGTAAGATACTCAACTCTATAAATGGGCACCGTGTACCTTACACTAGATAAAAGCTTTGGGAGTGCAACTTAATATTTTTGAGTCATGATTGTGGTTGGCAGTGTTAGAACCTGGAGTGTTTCTGGTGACAGAATTACTTAAACCGTTTGAACATTTGTCTAGAAACCAGCCAAAAAGCAAATATTGTATTCATTACACTTGTGCAAGCAGGTGTAATGAAAGAAAACATGTAATCTTTAATTTAAGGTCTTTGGTGATTAAAACTGTTACTGTTTTAGCTTTCATATGGTCTTCAGACTCAATTATTACATATAGATGTATTTATTTGCATTTAAGAATTTCCCAGTTGGAGTCAATTACCTGTCTGTCTGGGATGAGAAAGAGAGAGGTAATGAAAGTGAATAGGGGATATAATGGTAAGCGTGTCAAATGAACAGGAAAAGGATATGTCATAGAAAGATTTTGACATTTAACATTTATTTCCATTTTATTCCAGGCCTGAAGGGAGCAGTTAAGGGACGATATTTCTTCCATATGCTATTTGTCCTTTGGCAGTCATAATTCCATTAATGCAACAAGGAGAAATTTTGCCGCTTGGGTGATTCTGTCTTTCTGTTATAAGGAGGGCTTATGGTTGGAAGATCCAGTTAGTATCAAGCACACAGCAAGGAAATCAATCACTGAAGTCATTACTTGCATTCCCAACCAGCCCCCCCCCCCCCTTCACTAAAGGCAAGGTTGGAAAAGTGCTGAGTCGCAGACTTGGGAGAGATGGAAGTTTGGGCCCTCAGTTACAAACAGAGGAGTTTGGCTAAACCAGGGGGGGCTGGTCCCTTAATCTGTCTCCTGTCAGATGCAATTCTCTGACGTATCAGGCTTGACAGTACAGCTTCTTTAAGCCAATCAGGTCCTGGAGAACATGTTGCAGTCAAACTAAAAATAAAAGTCCTTTAATTACCATATGTCATTATGTACAGAAATGAAAATATCATTCCCATAAGCTGATGGAATAACGTTGCGAACTGTAAACCCAGGAAAATGATAATGATATTTGCAAAAGCAAGAGCTGAGAATAAGCAGGATAAAAGAAATAAATAAAAGAGAACCATTGGCATTTATGCCAGAGCTAATGTATAGTCTTAAATCGGTCTTTACATCTGTAGTCACATAGCCGTCTGTCATGGAGTGGACCATCGCCAGTATCAAATCTGTTGGTATGTATGAGTTTTATGTATGACACAGAATTGATTGTGCATAAAACATTGGGTTGTTAGGTCTAAACTGAATGTGACGTCTTGTGTTGAAAATAACTAATGTGTTTGAATGGAATATTAACTAAATATCAAGGGGTCTTAATTGCCTCCACATCAGTTTTTTAAGGTTATTTGTAAGGAATGAAAATTACTAATTGCTGCTCGGACAAAACATACAGTTTTTTGCATAAATTGTCTGATTTTTTTAAAAAAAACAAAACAGTTGGAGTTTTTAATGTAGATATCATACACTAAAGATATTACTTTCCTTTTTGTGTTTCTCTTTTGTGAAGGGAGATGCTATTCTGATGGTTATAGCTATTGGTAGTGACTTTTATGTATTGCTAGGGCCGGTACTTTCCGCCCTGCTCCGTAACTCTGAGGTTCCTGTTTCCCTTCCTCTTTGGTTGACGTCGAGCAGGTTGTGCTGTCCTTGTCCCTGAAGAGCTGTGCTTCTCCGCTCTGCTGGGGGCTCCTCACCGTGCCTCCCGATCTGACGACATGTCGCATTACAAGCTGTCTGCGGGCGGTCTGAATGCCTGCCAGCTGGAGCAGACTGATCCCAGGGACGAACCCCTGGGGCCACTGGGCCGAGCCAGTGATGTCAGTGTGCAATCTGATCCCAGGACTCAATACAAGACAGCCACTTAGTCACAGAAACCTAAAGTATTGATTAAAGATTCAGTGAATTAGCTTGTTGTGTAATTGATGAATATATTTCTGTAAAAAAGTAACATGATTTTTCAACTGGATAAGCAGAATAGAAAATGAATGAATGTCCCAAAGATCTAGTTTTACATGAATGGAGACATTCTTTGAGTGAGACAGAAGATGGTCTGTTGGTTAATGGACTGATCAATCTGCTTTGCAAGTGCTCATAGGGAGCGGGTTTGTGGGTGGACAGGGGGACTGGGTCTGGAGCCAATCGCCAGCAACTTAGGACA